CTATTTCTCAACTAATTGATCACTCTGCGTGTATGGTTATTTTTACTGATTCACTGTGTGCTATACAGGACCGGTGCTCGAGGAACCTGATTGGAGCAGGTGAACGACGAGATGGGCTCTTTTACTTCCGTGGAATACCTGTTGTGCATGCTGTAGCAACGTCTCCGATTACAGAGTTTGAGTTATGGCATTGTCGGCTGGGACATCCCTCGGATCGAGTCATTAAATTATTACCCGTGATTAAGAATAGTTCTTGTAGCAAGAAATTGAATAAAGCTTGTGATATCTGTCCACAAGCCAAACAAGTACGAGATTCTTTTCCTATTAGTGACAATAAAGCCAGTCGTATTTTGGAATTAATTCATTGTGACTTGTGGGGTCCTTATAATACCCCTTCCACGTGTGATGCAGTTTATTTTTTGACATTGGTTGATGACTATTCACGTGCTGTATGGGTCTATTTATTGCGTGACAAGAAGGAGGTCCATAAATTTTTTATATCTTTCTTGGCTATGGTTGAAAAACAATACAATGCTTCGGTTCACATTGTTCGCAGTGACAATGGCACAGAATTTAGATGCATGCTTCCCTATTTTGATTTGCATGGTATTGTTTTTCAGACATCATGCATACATACACCTCAACAAAATGGGAGAGTAGAGCGAAAACATCGTCACATTTTAAATGTGGCTCGTGCCTTAATGTTTCAGGCTCATCTCTCAATAAAATTTTGGGGGGAATGTGTACTTACGGCAGTCTATTTGATTAATCGAACACCCTCCGGAATTCTCGGGAATAAGACTCCGTTTGAGGTTCTTAATGGTGTTGCGCCTGATTATCTACACTTGAGGATTTTTGGTTGTCTTTGCTTTGCTTATGATCATGCTTCTCGAAAAGATAAATTTTCTCCACGCAGCAGGAGATGTGTTTTTCTTGGTTATCCTAATGGGAAAAAGGGCTGGAAACTATATGATTATGACACAGGTGATATGTTTGTTTCCCGTGATGTTCAATTTCACGAGCACGAGTTTCCATTTTTGGCCGAATCCAGTAATACTCCTGCCCAGACCACTACTGAACCTCCATCTTTATTTGAGGAAGATGATGTCATATCTCCACTGCCTGATGCAGCAACGATGGACACTTCTCTGTCCACTACTTCGGGCGTTGATGTTACTGCCATGCCATCTGGAACTGCACTTGATGTCCCACCCACATCAACGAGTGACACTACTGAACTTCTAGGCCGTGGTCAGCGTGCTAAGCGCACCTCGGTCTTACTCCGGGACTTCGTTACAAATCACGTTCAACGTGAGAGCCCATCTTCGTCCTCGCCTGCTTCGTCTCGTTCCTCAGGTACGCATTATCCTATAGCAAATTTTGTGCATTACGGAAAATTTTCACTCCGTCATCGTGCGTTTCTTGGAGCTATGCTTGCAGGTAGTGAACCGCGTAATTTTCGGGAGGCAATGTCCCATGCAGGATGGCGTGATGCCATGCAACGTGAAATCAAAGCCCTGGAGGATAATAACACTTGGGTTATGGCACGATTGCCCCCTGGCAAACGTGCTCTTGGTTGCAAATGGGTTTATAAAATTAAATACCACTCAGATGGCAGTGTTGAGCGTCTCAAAGCTCGATTAGTTGTTTTTGGGAATCACCAAGAGGAGGGTATTGATTATACAGAGACATTCGCGCCGGTAGCCAAGATGGTTACGGTTCGCACTTTTCTTGCGGTTGCAGCAGCGCGTAACTTGGAGATTCATCAAATGGATGTGCATAACGCTTTTCTACATGGTGACTTACACGAGGAAGTGTACATGAAACTCCCGCCCGGTTTTTACCCCACTCGACCGGGGCTTGTATGTCGTCTACGGAAGTCGCTATATGGCTTACGCCAGGCGTCTCGCTGCTGGTTCGCTAAACTAGCTAATTCACTCAAACGGTATGGCTTTGCTCAGTCATATTCAGATTATTCTCTCTTTACTATGTGCAAGGGGCCCGTACACCTGTTCGTGTTGATTTATGTTGATGACCTAATTATTGCCGGTAATGATTCCTCCGCTTTAATTAAATTTAAAGAATATTTGAGTACGTGCTTCTATATGAAAGATCTAGGCATCCTCAAATATTTTCTGGGAATTGAAGTAGCTCGTAATGCGGAAGGTATTTTTCTCTCCCAGCGTAAATACACGCTTGACATTATTGCTGACGTTGGCTTTCTTGGTGCCAAACCCGCTGGTTTTCCCATGGAGCAAGGCCATTCCCTTGCACTGGCTCGTGATGAACCTATTTCTGATCCGACAAGCTATCGTCGTCTCATCGGGCGTCTTATTTATCTCTCTTTTACTCGTCCCGATATTGCTTACGCTGTTCATATTTTATCACAGTTTATGCAATCACCCCGGCAGGATCATTGGGAAGCGGCACTCAGAGTAGTTCGATATTTAAAGGGGTCTCCAGGTCAGGGTATTCTTCTTAGCTCTACCTGTGATATGTTTCTTTCTGGTTGGTGTGACTCTGATTGGGCCAGTTGTCCGGTCTCTCGACGTTCTCTTACTGGTTGGATAATTTTTCTTGGAGGGTCTCCTGTTTCTTGGAAGTCTAAGAAACAACACACTGTATCCCGGTCATCTGCAGAAGCAGAGTATCGGTCTCTGGCATCCTTAACTGCTGAATTGAAGTGGCTCAAAGGCCTTCTCTTAAGCCTCGGTGTGGCTCACTCTCGGCCTATGCAGGTGTATTGTGACAGTAAGTCCGCTCTTCATATTGCTCAGAATCCGGTGTTTCATGAGCGCACTAAACATATTGAAGTTGATTGTCATTATGTCCGTGATGCTATTCAAGAGGGACTCATATCTACTCAGCATGTTTCATCCCATGATCAGCTTGCAGATATTTTTACAAAGGCGTTGGGCAAACAACAATTTTTGTATCTCCTTTCCAAGTTGGGCATTTGTGATCCGCATGCTCCAACTTGAGGGGGGGTGTTGGAATATTTTATTATTTTGTATTTTCTTTGTATTTGTCATAGTCTAGTTCGTAAATAGCCCATGGGCTTTGTATAGAAGTATGCGTATATATACTGCCAAGCTGAGGGTAATACCCTACGAATTAATAAGATCACTTTTGGCTTACTAAATTTCTTCACGAGCCAAATCGAGCCGAATCAATATTTGCGAGCCGAGCTCGAGCCCGGATTTTTTAAGCTCGTTCGAGCCGAGCTCGAGCTCGAGCCAATACAATATAATTCGAGCTCGAGCTCGAGCCTACATAAACTCGGGCTCGGCTCGGCTCGTTTGCACCCCTAGGTAAGATAAAATGGATAAGATAAAAAATAACATAAGAAGTTAAGAACATAAGATAAATAAAAGAGAAAAGAGATAAAGAACATAAGAAAGATAAAGGATGAAAATAACATAAGAACGTAGAATGATAAATAAAATATAAGTTAAGAGAAAAGGTAAAAAAGAGATCAATCGTCCACACGTATATGCATCCTCCAGTTTGCTATGTTCAAAGTCATACTCTCATCCAACTCAAGAAGAAGCATATCAATTCTGATTCCTCTAATCCAAGTTTGTTTGGGTCTCCCCCTCCTACCCGTCTGTTCTCCCCATCTCTCAACTCGTCTAACAAGTGCATCATTCGGTCTTCTGCCCACATGATCAAACCACCACAATCGAGATTCTTGCATCTTATTTTCTATAGGTGTTACTCCTACCTTTTGTCTGATTATTTCATTCCTCAAATGGTCTTTCTAGTATGTCCACACATCCAACGTAACATACGCATCTTTGCTACACTCATCTTTTGAATGTGACATTGTTTCACTTTTCAACACTCTATGCCATACATTAGTGCAAGCGTAGTTGTTGTCCGATAAAATTTACCATTCAGTCTAGTTGGCATACCTCAATCACATAGAAATCTAGATGCATTATTCCACTTCAATTACCTTGCTCTAATTCTATATGATACATCTCCATCCTTCTGAATTATAGAGCCCAAATAACGGAACATATCACACACTGATATCTCCTTGCCATCCAGGGTAATCCCACTGTTACTACTATTTCTACCTCAACCAAACTTGCACTCCATATACTCAGTCTTACTTCGACTCAGTCTGAAACCCTTGGTCTCCAAAGTTTGTCGTCATACTTCCAACTTTGTTTTAAACCCTGATTGTGTCTCATTAATCAATACAATATCGTTGGCAAACATCATGCACCACGCCACCACGGTATATCTTCTTAGATTAACTTTGTAAGTTCATCCATGAATATATCAAATAAGAAAGGATTCAGAGCCGATTCTTGGTGCACTCCGATAGTAATAGGGATCTCAGCAATCCTCCCTACACTATTATGGACTTGTAGTGCAAGCCTCATACATGTCCATGGTGATACTAATATACTTACGTGATATGCCTTTTTTAGTCAAGGCCCACCAAAGGACTTCTCGAGGTACCCTATCATATGTCTTTTCTAAGTCAATGAACACCAAATACATATCATTTTTAGTGTCTCTATGGTGATGAGAGTTTTGGAATACAATTTCATTATTCCCTATTTATGATGGTGAAACGGAAGACACCCGCGGCCGGCATCCAACTTTGCCATTATATTTTTTGAAATGATTTTTAATGTTCATTAGTAGACAATGGATTAACACTAACTTCCATAACACGCACTACATCATAGAAGATGATGATGATATAATTAATTTCTATTTAAAAAAACTAAAAAGAGTGTTTTCAAGTGACAAATTCTACTTAAATCTATATGCTATATAAAAATGCAATAGTCACCGACCACTGAGGTGGGAACTGACTGCGCCCATCGCTTAGGGTAAAAACACAATAGTCATCGCCAACCAATCTCTAGACTCCAAAGCGGCAAATTAATTATCATCCGCATGGGAGAGTGTTGGGAGTGTTGCTGATGTGCGGTTTCAACTTCTCAAGGAATTTTGATTTCGGATGGTTGTGTATAAAAGGGGGGCTTTGGATGGCAGAACTTACTAAGCATTTCTCAAAAGAGGAAGAAGAACGTGCAAAGCTGCTCACTTACGGTCTTGATTCTGCCTTGCCTACATCGTGGTAATATTGATTTGTATTGAGTTTGATTTTAATTTTATCTTGAGTATTTCAAATGACTTTGATTTTATCTTCAGTTTTTAAAATCACAACTTCACTGATTCTTCTCCCCAGATGTCGCCGACATTTGGGCTTCTGCGTCATGTTACTCCCCAGGACACCCACTGGGCATCGAGGCTTCGTGTTGTTTGAGTGTACTGTCACGGAATGAGGATTGTGAAGTGAAAGGCATGGAGTGTATCTTTCATGATAAAGTAGTGAGTAGTCATATTAATATATTTTCAACTTCATATAGATTTGTCAATTTTTCAATTTTAATTACTGCTTCAATGCTTTTTAACCAAGGGCGAAAGGATTTATGGAACAATAAGGCCATTTCAAATGGCACAGTTTAGAGATGTTTTGCAGGAAGAATGTTCGTATATGATTCGGAATTTCATAGAGGCAATTGACGGAAAAAAGTACAAAACCCACCACCAACAAATATAAGTTAATTTTTTCTCAAAAGACAGAGGTTTTGGACTTCAAAGATGATGAGTTTACGGAATATACTTATAAGTTCAAGCGTTTTGATTCACTATTAACAACAAAAATCTTGGATGAGACTGAGCTTTCCGGTATGTTTCTTTTATTTTTTCTTGCTATCATGGTACTGGAGAAATAAAAAATAAGGTGAAGTGACTTGATTAATTGTATTATTGCATAAGATGTCATTGGAGTGGTTGTTGGGAAACAAGATGTAAATGAAATGGTCGTTAAGGGTCGCCCTCGCACAATCTTTGATTTTGTAATACAGGACAATAAGTAAGTTGTTGTTCTTTTCACTTGAATTTTAGTTTTTTTTTTGTGTTTTTTCTGTTATTTGACGTTGTTGAAATTAAATGTAGGATGAAGCAAGTGTCGTATACTTTGTGGGATTGATATGTGGACGAAATACTACCCCATCTCAACAACCAAAGTCCTGAACATGTGATTGTGCTTCAATTTTGTCGGGCTAAATTGTTCCAAGGTTAGAATTATGAATTACAGTTCACACTTTGAGAATTACTTATATATATGGGTTGGTTCATGTGAGAAATGAGCTTCAGGAGAGAAAAAAAGAATGGAATCTGACCATTCTTTCATCTAATCGCGCGGCTCATAAAGAACAACATGAAGTAGAAACGGCACATAATGTGCGCGTGCAAGGAATTAACATTGAATCATGCATATTATAATAATGGGAAAAGGACAATTAGGTAAAAGACTTGAACTTAGTTGGAACATACCACTTGCACGAGCACATATTCTGGGAAGCAATCCTCCATATTTGGATAATAATTAATGCTCCATACAAGGTAACTCCCACTCATAATTAATTTTATTTTGACCAATTTAAATCAATTATTCTAATAAATGCTTTATCTTATTTAGATTTCATTCCAAAATTGATATTTTCACAATTAGTTCGGTCAACTAATTTAAGAAAACTCTTTGGGATGCACTTTTGGCGTGAGAATAAATAAATTGGAATACTAATTACCAAAATAATATGCACTAATTTATGTATGACAAATTTATAATAAAAGGGTCACATAGGCCCTTCAACTATCACCAACACATCACATAAACCCATCTACTTATAAAAACATCATTTAAATACATTTACTCTCCAAAAACCATCAATTTGGTCCAATTTACCGGAAGGTCACCTTCTTAGCCGGTTTAAGTGCATGATTGCACGTTTGACATTTTCTTTTTATCCCTTTCTTCTTTTATTTTCTTTTTTCTTTTCTTTCTTTATTTTCTCTTTGTTCTTCGTTCTTTCTGCTTGTTTTTAACACATTCCTATCCCCAGATTAAAATTTAAGAAACGATGTCTCATGTTTGGCATTCCCATTCCCTCATTCCAACAATTCCAAATCCATCACCTACTCACATTCTGATCCCCACCTTCGGAATTTTTCTTCTTCTCTTTCTAGTAATGCCCTTGCCCCCTTCAGCCCTTTCACGTCCATCCCCTGTTCTTGGTGTGCGGAATTGTTGAAGCAGCGGAGTGCGAAGCTGGGTTGCAGAAGAACGAAATGAGATGTCTTCGTCCCCACTATCCGTCTTGATCTTCCATCGATCGCTCCCATCTCCGGTAAAGTCGTACCTCCATGGATGAGCATCGAGAGATTTCGCCACTCTCTACTCGTTGTGATTTTGACTATATATAAGCAAGAAAAAAGCTTAGAAGAAAGAATGGGGAGGCTGCAGATTTGGGATTTGGATTTCTTCGAGGGCGGTTGCCTCTCTCTGCTAGCCATTAATTTTCCGCGACCAGAACAATTTGTTATCAACAGCTCTCTGTTTCTGGTAGAGAAAAATAAGAAGAATATACATGAAATCGACAGAGAGAAGGGGGGCCAATATGGTGTTGGCAACGATGATCAGACCCAGCTTCCATGCAGGTTTCAACCTTGGATTGGAGAAAATCAAACATGAGACATCGTTGCTTAAATTTTAATCTGGGGATGGGAATGTGTTAAAAACAAGCCGAAAGAACGAAGAAGAAAGAGAAAATAATGAAAGAAAAGAAAAAAGAAAATAAAAGAAGAAAGGGATAAAAAGAAAATGTCAAACGTGCCTCTGGGAGAGGTCTTGGTCTGGTCCCCCTCTCCTTCTGTATCAAACATTATAATAATAAAATAACGGCAACTGACCCTCGGCATTTGCCCCACTGATGGGTGGTTTGCCTTCCGAGGTATAAAAAAAAAATGTCAAACGTGCAGTCATGCACTTAAACTGGCTAAGAAGGTGACCTTCCGGTAAATTGGACCAAAGTGATGGTTTTTGGAGAGTAAATGTATTTAAGTGATGCTTTTATAAGTAGATGGGTTTATGTGATGTATTGGTGATAGTTGAAGGGCTTATGTGACCCTTTAGCTTGTATGCTCTTCATAAATAAATTTTGGAATCTGACCATTCTTTCATCTATATATATATAGATTTAGGTTCAAGTGAGAAAATCATCTTAGGAAAGAAAAAAGAATAAATGTAGACCATTAGATCATCTCTTAATTGTTACGTGTGACTAATCTTCCTAGAGGTTAGAAGGGTCATTATTTTTCTTTCCATCTTAGATCCATTGTGTCATGATAACTTCTTTATTTCCTTCCTAAAATTAAGAATTTGGTTAATATTATAATTAATTTCTTTGTTTCTTCCTTGATATCTTAACCATTTGTGCGGTTGTACCACCCATCAATCAAGTGACTAATTTGGTCCCTTTTTCCATCTACGATTAATTTGCTCCATTTAGCTTGGTTATTGAATAAAGGTACATTCGGTAAAATATTTCAGTGCATCATGAAACAAGAAATGTGCATATAAATTGTATGATAAAAATTCATTTAACATTTGCTGGAAAAGTGCACAATGACTCACATGCAAATGAACGAGTTAGATTGTAATATTAAAAGTGAAAATCAATATAAATAAAAGTGCACGTAGAGAAGTTTAACACCCTTCGATCAAAAGTATGGCTAGTTGTACCAAAAAGTGCAAAAATATATATCAAAGTATTCTATAAAAGTATTTGAATATTATAGAACAACCGTAAATCAAATACAAAATGTGTACCTCAATGTTAGAAGTGCACAATAACTCAAATGAAATGCATAATAGAATGATCCACATAAAACATATTTTTAAACATTAAACATATGTGAATATATATTGCGCGTTAAATACATTTTGGTGCATAATAAATTTTTACATAATGTATATATACCTCATTTCTCAATGCACGTTTACATTATCTTTGGTGCACTTTAAATTTATTTGGGTGCATACTAAATTTATCAAAAATGCATAATAATATCTGAATGCACTTTGATATTAAGGATGTTTTTACTTAGACTGTAATTTGCTGGTCTGGTCTGGTCTGGTCTGATCTGGTCTGGTCTGAACTGGTCTGGTCTGGTAAGGTCTGGTTTCTTTGTATTTTTATAACTATCCAATTTTGGTCTGGTCTGGTCTGAACTGGTCTGGTCTGGTCTGGACTGGTCTGATCTGGTCTGGTCTGGGGCAAATTACAGTCCAAGTAAAAACATCCTAAATTTTAGTGTACGAAGTCAATACCCATTGTGCGCTTCATCATTATTATTTTTTATAATATCATCCTCAAAATGGTCTTTTACAACGCCCTTAAATGATTCCCAAGTTAAATATTTTATTCATTCAAATATTTTCATGATTACGTTATTATTATTTTTACTTGGAAATGCATTTCTCCAAGTAAACAATGCATTACACCTATTAGGATATAATAATAGTGTTGACAATTTCATACACCATAATTTGAGATTATTACAAAGTGAATTGTGTGTTGGCTTTTAAATAAGGAAAATATCTGAAGCTTTCTTTTTCAAATCGTGTGTTGCTATTGTTAGGTGCGAGTTTCACGGTAAGAACAGTATGGGTGTGCCAACCGCCTATTGCTCTTTTACGGTTCTATCCTTGATTAGTCAAAATATTGCACACTTTCCTTATAAATTCATGATCATCTGTCTCATTCATATTTAATATTGCTTAAATCTTAACCGAGGATCACACACACACTGTGTGTGGGGGGGGGGGTGGATGGGTGGGTGCGCGTACGCGTGCGCGCGCGTGTGGGTGTGGGTGGGTGGGTGTGGGTGCGCGCGCGTGTGTGTGTGGGTGTGGGTGTGGGTGTGGGTGTGGGTGCGTGTGCGTGTGCGTGTGCGTGTGCATGTGGGTGTGCGCACGCGTGTGGGTGTGGTTGTGGGTGTGGGTGCGGGTGCGTGTGGGTGTGCGCGTGCGTGCATGCGTGTGGGTGTGCGAGTGTGTGTGTGTGCACGCTCGTGTGTCTTATCCTGAGTTGGGTACCGTTGATCATGATCCCAATTATTTGAAAAAAGAGCAATACTGACACCAACCCTTGATGTTGTTGATTCTATCAATGATTATATGCTCACATTAAATGGTTCTGAGTTGAGAACATATTTGAGTTCTGATAGTCCATGCCAGTGAGATGCAAATCTTGATTTCTTGGTTGATATTCACATTCCAAAGTTTTTAAATGGAAGTAAAGTTTCAGGAGTTCCAAATTGCCAATTGCATCTTAAAGTATGGACACCAATTCTGCTTATGAGAAATATAGACCATTCTCAGTGGTTGTGTAATGGAACTAGGATGGTTATCACTAGATTGGGCAATCCCGTGTTGGAAGCAAAAGTTTTGACTGTGATAAGTGCAGGTCAAAAAGTGTTGATAACTAGAATGTTTTTGACACCGTCGGATGTGAGGTTGCCTTTCAAGTTTCAAAGGAGGCAATTTCCTCTTATTGTCTCATATGTTTTAATGTACTTTCAATATGTTCGCTTTCATTTTTCTCATCTCCTTTTGATATTTGTTATGAGCTCAATTACTTACATTTATTGTGTTTTACATTATTTATTCACAATAACTTAATAGGTGTCATAATATGGAAATTTTCATAATTAAATTAAATTTTATAGTGGAGGTAATTATTCCCGTGCATCGTACGAGTAATAAACTAGTTAATACTCAAAAGCTAAAAGCTAGAATCTACTTTTTAGTTTTTGTATTACACAAAAACACTTATTTTATCAAACAAAATCAATTTTTACTTTTCAAATCATTTTTTCTCAAACACTACCAACTTTTACCATTAAATAATTTTTTCCCAAATCACTTTAAAAATTTCAAAAACTTAATAATGTTTACAAACAAAGCCTAATACCAGGTGTCAAATGCGTACACATCTACTCACTCCGTCCCACTAACAATGAGACAAAAGGAAGTGACACACAAATTTATAAAAAATGGGTTATGTGGTTGATATTGAATTGTTAAAGTAAGAATAAAGTAAGATTGAATTATAGTCACACAAACTTTACCAAATACGATATGTGACAATCTTAGTGGGATGGACCGGAAAAAGTAAAATGAGACAATCTTAGCAGAACGAAGGGAGTAACATTTTTTAAATTCAAGGAGTGCTTGCAACAACTTAAAAAAAGCTTCTCAGTTTTTGGCTTAAAAAAGCACTTATTTACCAAACACTACCAATTTTCACCTTTTCTCGGCTTGTGTGTGAAAAATGTTTTTCCCTTTTCGATTACACAAAAAGAATTTATTTTACCAAATATTACCAATTTTTACTTTTCAAAATTTCTTTTTTCTCAAATACTATCAACATTTATTATTAATCATTTTTTCTTTACATGTCAAAAAATGTGTTTTTAAGCAGAAACAATTGCAAACACCCTCAAAAGTCAAACCCACCAACAACGATGCCTTATAAGTTGGCAAGTTGGGTGGGTGTGGGTCTGCGTCTAGCAGTCCAGCTGTAGAAGCGCGTTGCCCATTCATTCCCCCGCGTATCATCAGCCCATATTTTCCATTGATGAAACGAAATCAAAGTCCAGAACTTTACTTCAAGCTTCCATCATCACCGGGATGGAGGCACTCAACCTGCCCTTGGCACTCTTTGTTTCCACGTTTCTCCTACTTTTCACTCTCGTCTCCCCATCCTTCTCCCCTGTCGACCACTACCTCATCAATTGCGGGTCCCACGGCAGCACCGTCGACCTGGACCACCGCCGCTTCGACGGAGACGGGCCGTCGAACTCCAATTCGCCTCTGCTTTCTCCATCCAAGTCGGTCTTACTAGCCGACTCGAACCCTCTTCCCGGAACATCCCCGATCTACCACACGGGTCGGGTCTTCACCCAACCATCGAAGTACGTTTTCCGCATCCGAGATCCAGGTGCTCATCTGGTACGCCTCCATTTCCAGGTACTCAACGCGGGCCTCGATTACTCAAATGCCCAGTTTTACGTTTTGGCGAATGAATATCTATTGTTCAATAGTTCTAGCATTGAAACTGCTTGGAATTTCGCGGTGATCAAAGACTACGTAATTAGGGTTGATTCGGATAAGCTAGTGATCACCTTCGTCCCTGTGGGAAAATCGAAATTTGCATTTGTCAATGCCATTGAAGTTATCTCAGCTCCAAAAGATTTGATTGCAGATGTGGCTCAGTATGTTAGTTTTGAGAAAAACGAGCCTATTAGTGGCATGTTAAAAAGCGCCTTAGAAACTGTATATAGAATTAATGTGGGAGGCAAGAAAGTAACCCCTTTCAATGACTCTCTCTGGAGAACTTGGCTTCCTGATGATGAGTATCTCTTGAAGTCCAGTGATGTCTCTTCAAAGGTCTACTATGGTGGTCATATACAATACCATATCGGAGGGGCGAGCCGAGAAGTGGGCCCCGATAATATGTATAACACGGCACGGATAATAAAAAGTCAAGATGACTCTATACCGGACAGGAACATCTCATGGGCATTCCCGGTGGATGAGGGTTATAAGTACTTGGTGCGAACACACTTTTGTGATATTAGTAGCCTTGCACGTGGTTTGCTGTATTTCAATGTCTATGTTAACGGATACTTGGCATATGAAAACATGGATCTCACTACGATCACCAGTGGTATGCTGGCATCACCATTTTATGCCGACTTTGTTGTTGACGGGGGCATTTCTGGTATTCTGTCCGTTAGTGTGGGGCCATCCAATATGAGCTTGACACGAGCTGTGGATGCGATTCTTAACGGAGTTGAGGTCATGAAGATTAACAACTCGATGGGTAGCTTTGATGGCGAGGTGTGTGCGGGTTATGTCTTAAGGAACTGGGGGAGAAGGAATGTCGGTTTTACCCTTCCGCTGTTAGCTGCTGCAGTTCTCTTGCTGGTAA